CTGTGAACTCAGCCTATACTGGGCTTGAATTTGAGATCCTCCTGCCTCAGCCTCCTCCAGTATTGGGATTACAGGCCTTTGTCTCACCCCTGGCTTAGTCACATTAAATTTTGATTAGTTGAAATGAAACTAATTTCCACAATCTAGCTGTTCCAACACACAAGCGTCATTCCCAGTGCTTCATGGCCGGAGGTGACCTGTGCCCACAGTATTGGGCGGAGCAGAAAGAAACCCTGTCCTTTGCCCTAGACAGTTATTTTCCCTGGGCTGTGCTGATGTCCCTAAGCCACCACAGAGGAGGCAGTGGCCCTGTGATTGCCCTGGTGGCATAAACAAGAGAAGTTCCCTGCACTGAACCCTTGACACATTTTCCCGGAAGGGCCCTTTGGAGTATCAGTGGCCCTGTGGCAGTGACTTAAGTCTGGTGTCCTTCAGGGCTGCTGGGGCCAGGGTGCTTGTCCATCTACAGGACCAGGGAAAAGTAACTCATCCCCTTGTCCCCAGTCACAAACTCTTTTCCCCGCCCTCCTGGAGGTCCTGTTTTCTTGGGCCTTAGGGTGAGTCGGTCCCTGCGCTGCATGGGCACCATGTACTCACAGCTGCTCTTTCATGGAAAGGGACTATATTGAGCTATTTCATTTCGGGTTAATGTTCTACAGTATTGCAGCCACAAAAGAGGACAGTAGGGCTTTGTTTCCACCTTAGAGAACAAGCAGTGAGACACCCTAGGGGACAGGGCTTCTGGTCCCCTTCCATCCCTGGCTGGGGTGGCAAGAGAGTCAGAGTTATGGCCCAGAGAGGTCCAGGAGACCATATGCAGTCACACAACCAGGGCCTCTAGTCAGAGGCCAGACTTGTGAACACTGCCAGAAATCAAGGCAGGGGGGCTGGTGAGATGGCTCAGTGGTCTAAAGCACCTACTTAGAACAAGCTTAGCAAAGCACAGGGACCGCGGTTCAATCCCCCAGCACCACATGCCAGCCAGCCCCGCCCCCTGGTGGGCTGAGCTGGCCACACACACACACACACACACACACATAAATTTAAAAAAAAAAAAAAAATCAAGGCAGGCCTGGTATTGCACACCTGTGCTCCTGGCACTAGGGAGACTAAGGCAGGAGGATCACAAGCTCTGGCCCAGCTGGGCAACTTAGTAACTTAGCAAGAGCCTGTCTGAAAAATAAAAAAAGCATGGGGGTGTAGGTCAATGTGAAGGTCCTGGGTTTAATGCCCAGGATTGCAAAACCAGAAAACCAGTACAAATCAGGCAGGTTTATAGAAGGGTGTCCTGTTGGGGCAGTGACCTCCTGAGGTTCTGGCGGCCACAGTTGTGGGGACCCCTGTATCCTGAGGCCGCCAGTCCCAACTCCGGCCACAGAAGGCGGCAGTGACTGTGTACCTGCATAGGTTGGCCTGGGGTAGATCCGCAGCCAGGCCTCTTTGGAAGCTCAACCCAAGTGCCAATATGGACCCAGGGCCCAGAGAGGGGGCCCAGGGGCCAGGGAGATGGCTCAGTAGCATAAGTGCTTCCCTGGCAAGCACAAGGGCCTGAGTTCACTCCCTGCTTTGGCAAAACAAACAAACAAATAATAGCAGGGGCCCAAAGCTACTTGAGGAGGGCTCACCTCCTCCGCCTGTCACCCTTTTTCCTCCTCTACTGCTGGGGCCAGTTTCAGGTTCTCATTCATTTATCCTGTGACCTGAAAGGTGCTGGGTGACATTACACACAGACACACATGCACACACATGGCGCACACACACACACTCCAGCAGCTGGAGATCTCTACAGCCACGAGCTCACCCCTGCCACCCACAGTGCTCCGCGCTCGCCAAGCTGAACGCCGAGGTAGCCTGCATCGCTGTACACGATGACAGCGCCTTCGTGGTGGGCACCACCAAGGGCCGGATGTTCCTGAGCGCCAGGAAGGAGCTGCAGTCAGACTTCCTCAGGTTCTGCCGTGAGTACCCGGGTCTTTCCTGGTGCCCCACCGCACCTGGCCAGGGTGTACCCTTTGGGGCATGAGCTGACAGGGGAGACTGGTAGGCTTCCTGGACACAGCCCCTCAGCTTATCGGCACCAGCCTGACCCCAGCTGCCTCCCTCCACCAACGTGTAACTGGCACACTAAGCCTGGCACTGTGGCCCTCTTCCTCTCCTGGCTGCATCCCTGAGCACAGGGCCGGGCCGTGTGCAGGAACCACATAACCTTTCCCAGCAGCTTTGTGAAGCAGTGACCCCCATTTGCAGATGAGAAACCGAGTCCCAGGACCTATACTGTTTCCCAGGGCTACACAGCCAATGCCTAGGAAGGCAGCAGGTGCAGGCAATGCCATTCCTTGGGGGGCTATGCCGGCGAGGTGCACAGCTGTGAGCCTGGGGTCTTTCTGTAGCCCCTAATTCTTCCCTGCCCTCAGTCCCAGTCCTGTATGCTGTCCTCATACTGGGCAGACCCTGCCCACCCTCCAGGATCCTATCCCTTCCACCCTGGGCCCTAAACCTCTGCTCCTGTGGGAGGCCAGCTCCACCTTGATGATGAGGTGGGGCCTGGCCCCAGCCCTGAAGGATGGCACCAGGGTGGGCACTAAGGCCGGCTCTTTGGACTTGAAACCATGGTCCAGTGTAAGAGTGGTTCGATTGGAGCCAGATGTGTTCCCAATCCCCAAATCCCAAATCCTCCAAAATCTGAAACCTTTGAGCACCCCCAGGATGCCATGAATAGATAATCCTACACCCAGCCCCATGGGATGATGGGTTGCTGTCAGAACACAGCCCAGTGAAGGTTGCACGTGTGACCCTCAAACTCAGTAGATGAGGTGTGGTTAGATCTGAGACCTCCCCCTCCCTAAAATGGGGTAATTACCTACTTGCAAATATTACCAATCTGAGCTGGATTGCCAAATCCAGGTCACTTCTGGTGCTAAGCATTTTGGATAAGGGAGGCCCAGCTTGGACCTGCTGGGCCTCAGCCTGTGGGGTGTGGAAGGGGTACCTGCTCTTCCTGGGGTTAGCTTGTTCACGCTCGGTGGATACCAGCACTGTTATTAGTGTCTCAATCCCCCAGCCTGATCCCTGTGTTTCAGGGAAGGGCATCCCTAGGCAGTGGGCATATCCATAGTGGATGCTGCAGTTTCCCCAGCCCACCCCTTGCAGCTCCACAGAGCTCAAAACTTGGGCCTCCTTTGGGAGGAGGCTTCATGCCACCCACGGGGGTTGGGGGAGTGGGCGTGTCTGGGTGAGGTGATGGGCTTGGCCTGTGGGCAGGGCGGGCCTGAGTCCTGGTAATAGGTGTGAGTAGTTGCCGCACTGGGCGGGGTCTGCAAGCAAAAGCAGGCAAGGCCATTAGAGGAAATGGGCGTGGCAGAGCCCTGCGCTTTAGGCCTCTGAGACTCCAGCCAGGCTGAGGCCTAGGAAAGGGGTACCTGCTCTTCCAAGAACCAGAAAGAGCCACTGTGTATAGTGCCAAGAACCCAGCTGATTTATTTCAAAGTTTGCAGATCTCAATAGAGAACAAGCTCCAAGCTGGGCGGGGATAGCAGAGCCCTCAATCTTTCTGTCGCAGCTTTTATGACTTCTCTGTAATGCCCTCAATGCTCTAGGCGGCCCAGCCTGGTGTAGACCTGCCTCTTTGTGGGATGGGACGTTGGGCAGCTGTGGGTTGAACCCCAGGTCTGAGCCAGGAAGCCAAGCTCCTAGGGACACTCAGGCCAGGGCCAGGGGGTGGAGGGGCCTGCCTGAGGCCACACCTTAGGTTAGGGGTAGCCAGCAATGAGGCCACACACTGTGCTGGAGCCCTCACAGTGAGCCATATTGGCTCTTGGCAGGGGCTCGGGGCGGTGCCCACTTGCCGTTCACTCATTCCCTGTCATGAAGTTGAGCGCAGGCCTGGAGGCTGAGCCCAGGGCAGAGGCATTCCAGCTTGAAGGCTGGTTTTTGAGGTGTGCCCATGGTGACCTGTGTGCTGTGTCCCACAGGAGGGTCCCTGTGGAAGGATCCAGAGGCAGAGCACCCCAAGAAGGTGCTGCGGGGTGAGGGTGGAGGCCGAGGCGCCCCACGGTCTTCCCTGGAGCACGGCTCGGATGTGTACCTGCTGCGCAAGATGGTGGAGGAGGTGTTCGATGTCCTCTATAGTAAGACATGGTCTCCTTTCCTGGCTGGCACCTGATCCAGCCCCCTACCACTCTGTAACCCACCTACCCTGGGACCAAGGGCCCCTTCCTGAAGCACAAGTCTGATCAGGGAGTTGTGTCTTCAGCCTGTGTTACAACTGAGGCTCTACCCCAGAAGTCTTTTCCCCTGGATTAGGTCCCCTTTGACCCTGCTGTGCCCTTCCTTCACTAGGGAGTATGTAGTCTCCCTTTTGGGCTGTCTCCAGCTTGCAGTCCAGGGCCCAGCAACAGTGTATGCTCAGAGCACGTTTGTTGAACGACTGAGTGAAAGCTAATGGCTCAGCTAAGTCTGGCCTGCAGGGGGAGGAGAGATCTCCTGACCTGATGTCCCCTGGGAAGTGTCAGATTGCAGCACCTCAGGGAGGCCCAGCCATGACCTTCACGCTTGCTGGATGACCTTGGGCCAGGCTCTGCCCTCATTTATTGCTCACTTGCTATTCTCCCTCTCCCTGCGCAGCCCTGGGTCTGTGGAACAAAGGTCTCCGAGGAAACTTCTGATGCCAGAGGAGGCTTAAGGGGGTGGGACAGGGGTCCCTGGTGGGCAAGTGGCCCTGGGGTAGAGGACTTGTCACACACGGCTGGCTGTGCCATCTGGACCACTGCACCCCTGCCCACTGTGGGCAGGATCTAAGCAGGACCTGCAGGGCTGAGGTGACCACATGGGTCCCAGAGCTCAGGCTGTGACCTTCTTTGCTCTCTGGTCCTCTTTCTCCCATACTCCGCTGTCTATTTCTCTCTTCCTAGCTTTGGGGATTGAATCCAGGGCCTTTGCACTGAGCTACAGCCTAAGCCCTTTGTATTTACTTCTTAAACTTTGAAACATGGTATTACTATGTTTCCTGAGCTGGCCTCAAAACTTGTGACCTTCCTCCTGACATTTCTGGTTCTTTCCTCTTTCTGAGCCCCCTCTTTTTTCCCTTCTCGACATCCTCTCCCCTCAGGGCTCCCTATTTGCCTCTGTTTCTCTTGCCGCTGTCCCCAGCCCAGCCCCAGCTTCCCTCCTCCACTCTTTTTCACTTCATGCTCTCCTTCCAAGTCCCTGCTGCAGCTCCCCAGGTGGCTACATCACAGCAGGGAGCCTCAGGCCCCTGTGCTGATAGCAGGGCTGCCTGGCTCTGCCCTGAACATGCACTGGTGGGGAGGAGGAGATGGGTCACCTGTCACCCTGCACGAAGCCTCTGTCCTCCCGACAGGCGAGGCCCTGGGCACGGCCAACGTGGTGCCTCTGCCCTACGAGCGGCTGCTGCGGGAGCCGGGCCTGCTGGCTGTGCAGGGGCTACCTGAGGGCCTGGCTTTCCGTCGGCCTGCTGAGTATGACCCCAAGGCACTCATGGCTATCTTGGAGCACAGCCATCGCATCCGCTTCAAGCTCAAGAGGTAAGGGGGCTGGGGAGATGGCTCAGTGGAATAAGCACTTGCCTGGCAAGCGCAAGGGCCTGAGTTCAATCCCCGGTTCCACAAAAAAAAAAAAAAAAAAAAAAGGTGAGCAGCGTGTGGAGCTGGCTGGAGGGCAGGGGCTGGAGACCCCTGGAGCCTAGGCCCCAGAGCAGGAGTGGCTTGGGGTCAATTCCCCAGGACCCCAATGTCTTGAAGTAACCATGAGAGCACTAGCCTGAAAAAGGGCACCTGAGACTTTCAGGGCTTGGGGGTGGCTGTGGTGGCTGCGGGCAGGAACCCAGGCCCTGGTTAGGGATGGGTGGGAAGTACAGAGAGCAGGGTTCTAGGTCCTGGGGTCCAGATCCTCCCGGGCTGGCATACTGCACCCCCTATTGGGGCTTCACTCACAGTGCTGGGTAGGGGAAGGTGGGGACAGGCTGGGAACCCGAGGTGGCCACTGTGGTGTGACAGGGCTGGTACCTGACTGCCTGTAGGGCTGTGCCTTCCCGGCAGGGATGGGGGAGATGCAGAGCCCACATGTCCCGAACTATCCCCTCGTCCTCTCGTTTACCCAGGCCCCTCGACGACAGCAGCCGGGACTCCAAGGCTCTGGTGGAGCTGAATGGCATCTCCCTACTGCCCAAGACGTCCCGGGACTGCAGCCTGCACAGCCAGGCTCCCAAGGTGCCCCCACAGGACCTGCCCCCCAGCGCCACCACCTCCTCCATGGCCAGCTTCCTCTACAGCCCGGGCCTGCCCAGCCATGCTGTCGTCCGTGATATTAAGCAGGAGCCGAACCCCTGTCCCCTTACCTCCAGCGACCTGGGCCTGGGCCTGCCGGTGCCTGAGCCCAAGGCCCCCGGTGTCCAGGATTTCTCCGACTGCTGTGGTAATGCTGCTATCCCAACTGGGTGGCTCACTCGGGTGCCTCAAGGGGACCAGCTTGGGGAAGCCAGGCAGGGGCAGGTCCGGGCAGGGCAGGTGGCATCTAGGCTGGACCCATCTGGACCCTGGGCCTCTGCTCTGCCATCTGTGCCTCAAGAAATGCTTGGGAGACTCCCTGAGGATTCTGAAAGCAGCTCACAGCCCACATGCGCTTATTGAGCACTTACTACATACCCTGCCCAGATTAGGGTGCTGGGGAACAGCTGGGAGGAAGAAACTTGAGTTCACAATCTGGCCCCTCTACTCAGTAGCTGTAGGTTTCAGGCAAATCTCTATCCCTCTGAGCATGAGTTTCCTCATCTGTAAAGTGGAGATGCATGTGGAGGTGGAACATACCTAATCCGAACTACTTTGAACCCAAAGTGGCAGAGTGTAAAAGTTTCAGGTTTTGGATTTTTTTCAGATTTTGGAATATTACCATATATATAACAAAGGACCTTGGGGATGGGATCTGAGTTTAAGGATGAAATTCATTTCTGTTTCATCTACATGTTTTAAACATAGCGTGAAGATTTCTTTTTTTTTAATGTGGTACCAGGGCTTGAACCCAGGGCCTTTGCACTGAGCTACTCCCTAGCCCTTTTTTTATTTTTTAATTTTGAGATAGGTTGTCACTAACTCCAGCTGGGCTTCGACTTGCAACCCTCCTGCCTTATCCTTCCAGAGTGTTGAGGTCATTTTATATGGTATTTCAAGTACACCTGCTCATTGACTTGGACCATCACGTGAGGCCAGGTGTGGAATCTTCCACGTGTGGTGGAGTGCAAGGGGAGCACTTTGGGCTTCAGCTTTTTGAGTCAGAGATGCTTGGCCTAGAATCCTCTTCCCAGAGCTGTCATGAACGAGCACCAGCAGCCACGCAGCATGTCCACGGCGTGTGTTGGGGATGCAGTTCTCAGCCTAGGCTGCAGCTCAGGGCTGAGTGCTGGCCTAGGATGGGCAAGGCCCTGGCTTCCCTCTTCAGCACTGAAATGGAAAGCCCCAGGCTGGAGCTGCGGCTCAGCAGGACAGCGCCTGCCTGACAAACGTGAGGTCATGAGTTTAGGTCCTGGTACCAAAACAAATAAACAAACAAACCCACAGAAAAAGTAGAAAAAATGCAGGATGGCAGGCTCAGCCTGGGATAGCAGGACTATTCTTGCAGGGCAGTGTGTTTTAGTCTGCAAAAACTTTATAGAGTTCCATATGCTTAAGTTTGAGAACTGATCTTTAATGTAACACGCAAATACACACACCTAGAGCTCGGTGTGTAGGATGTGAGTGCTTATAAGTATTATGCTCTGGGTTTGTTTTTTAATTGTTGCTGTTTTCCATACTGGGGATTGAACTCGGGCCTTTGCGTAGAGCTGCATCCCCAGTGTCCTCCTCGAGGCAAGGTCTCATTGAGTCAGTCACTCAGCTACCCAAGGACTTTCAGTCCTCCTGCCCCGGCCTCCCAGAATGCTGGGACTTCAGGGTGCATCAGCCCACCTGGCAGCTGTATTTGTGGGCATTATAAGAAGGAGATGAAAAGATGCAGACCCCCTCAAGTGTTGGGGCTGAGTCAGGGGACAGCATTGACACTCCCAGAACCGGTGTGCTCCCCTGGGAAGGCTGATCCCCTGCGGCCCACTCTTACTGACTGGGCGTTTGGAAGCAGAATCTGCTGTCCAGCAACTCCGACACTCCCAGGGCCCTGGGCTGCGTCTGTGCTGCCGCGGGGGTGCAATTTTGGGATGTCCCTGGTAGGTGAGGCTGCCTCCCAGGCCCTGGGTGCCACGCCCGGGCTTGGGGTCACCCTCTTCTGCCCACCTAGAACCTGTGCTTTTCTCTCGTCCAGGACAGAAGCCCACAGGGCCCACCGGGCCTCTCATCCAGAATGTCCATGCCTCCAAGCGTATTCTGTTCTCCATTGTCCATGACAAGTCAGGTAGGCGGCGCCACACGGCACTCCGGCCTCAGCGGGCATCTGCTCATGATGCGGGACTGAGATGCGAAAGGGGCCTGAGTGTTGGTGGGAGAAAGAAGAGCAGTCTGCTGAGGTGCTGTGAGTCTCACTGAAGTGTAACAGCTAACTGCTGCTGCTGCTACTGCTGTGTAACAAACTGCTCTCAGTGCAGCGTAGAACAGATGTCCACTGCTTCACGGTTTCGGTGGCCCAGATTCAGGAGCAGCTCAGCTGGGGGTTCTGGTTCAGCCTCTCAGGAGCCTACATTCACAGTGTGACCTGGGGCTGCTGTTGCATCTGAAGGCTGCCTGGGGACTGAGCTCAGACTTTGCAGTGAGCTGTAGCCCCCACCCCCTTTTTATTTTTTTTTTTTTAAATTTCTTTTTTTCCCTTTATTTTTTTTTTAAACATTTATTTATTTATTGTGTGTGTGTGTGTGTGTGTGTGTGGCCAGCTCAGCCCACCAGGGGGCGGGGCTGGCTGGCATGTGGTGCTGGGGGATTGAACCGCGGTCCCTGTGCTTTGCCACGCTTGCTCCATGTAGGTGCTTTAGACCACTGAGCCATCTCGCCAGCCCCACCCCCTTTTTAAAAGTACCAGACTTATACTCCGGTTTCTCTTCAGATTGTATAAATCTTTCACCTTTTACTAAAAGTACCAGACTTAACAGGAAGGCAGTTTGAGATCCGGTTAAACTAAAAAGAAATGAACTGATACTTCTCAGCAATTTTGCTTTGAGGGCCTCAGCCATCCCTCCAGAGACTATTTTTAAATTTATTATTATTATTATTATTATTATTATTATTATTATTGCCTTTTTGAGACAGGGTTTCCTTATGTAGTTCAAACTAAACTACACTTTGTAGGCCAGGCTGGCCTTTAATTTGCAACAGTCCTGCCTCAGCCTTCCAAGTGCTGGGATTGCAGGCTGCGCCACTGCACCCAGCCTATTTTTTGTGTGTTTTTGACACAGGGTCTTACTGCATGGTTCATTCTGGCCTTTAACTCACTATGTAACTCAGGCTGGCCTTGAACTCTCAGTAGTTGTCCTGCCTCAGCCTCCTGAGTGCTGAGATTGCAGACATGCACCACCCCATCTGGCTGAGAAACTCAACACCCAGCCCCCCACTGCAGGTCTCTCTCTGGGAGGGGATCCAGGTGGGAGGCCCACAGGTTCAGTGATCAGACCCAGGAGAAGAGTTTGAAGTGGTTGCTTTATTTTTTGTTTCACGTTTAGTTTGCAGTGGTGGGGGTGGAAGCCGTGGCCTTGCACTTACAGAGCAAGCGCTAATCCTCTGAGCTATACCCCAGCCCTGTGTTCTGGCTTCTGGGAGGGACGGACAGGGCTGAAAGTTAGGAGTCAGGTGGTGGTGAGTGAGGATGGACAGACAGTCTGGCCCCCACAAGGACCCTCAATGGTGGCCCCTGTGTTCCCATAGAGAAGTGGGACGCCTTCATCAAGGACACGGAGGACATCAACACGCTGCGGGAGTGCGTGCAGATCCTGTTCAACAGCAGATATGGTGAGTGGGCGCCGGCCGCCAGCTTCGGTCCCCAACAGGGTGGCGCGAGCCATCTGCCACACCCGCGCTCGCTCGCAGGCTCCTGTCACCCTCCTGGTGTCTGGGTGGAGGCGGCTGTATCAATATTTGCCTTCCAGATTCCTCAGGGGGGCGGGAACCCCAGAACCTGAGTCACTTCGGGAAGAGGGGCAGGCAGGGTGGGTAGGTTTGCGGCCTGAGAACCCACAGGAACCCGCTGGCCTTGCATGCCTGGAGTTTCCCTGTGCCACTGCTATCTCTCATCATTGTGTTTGCTCATGCTGTGCCCTCTGCCTGCTAGCCTTTACACTCAGGGTGCAAACCGCTAAGTACTCCTGGGGAATAGTGTGGGCATCGCCTCCAGGAGGGTGTGGGGTCCCCAGCCCTAGGTGCATCCCCATGGCTCTGAAGGCTTCCTCTCCCTGCATGCATCGGACACCTGTGCCCAGGCACTCTGTGGCTCTGGCACTCTGGTGTTGAGGGCTTTACTGAAGCTGTACAGAGGATGCCATGCAGGGTGTACAGCATCAGGGAACACAGTGGGGGCAGAGGCAGTGGGCACTGCTGCACATGTGTACAGGCGGAGGGCACACATGGGCAGAGGCATGCAGCTCCTGGGATTGGGGAAGCACCGCTCTAAGGGGGTTGTAGGGTAGACCAGCAGGAACTCAGGTAACTTAGGAATAGAGTCCCCTGCTCTACGCAGGGTAGGCCAAGCATGGTTTAGTGCAGCCCTGGGCTCCCTTTTGCCCACACTGCAGCTCAGTGCCTACCACTCCCACTCCTCCCATGCAGTCCAGGTTGGTGGGAGCCAGGTGGGCAGTGGGGAAGGTGCCAGGCAGGAGCTGTGTCTGCTGGGCAGGCCCTTCCAGCTGCCCTGGCACAATAGAGCCAGTGAGACCTTGGCCCCCAAGCCCTCACTTCTGGGCCCATGCAGCCCTAGACTGTGGAGAATGCTGAGCTCTTTTCAGACAGCAGGTAGAACAGAGCCATTAGGGGCCCTGGGCTCAGAATGTGAGGCCCCTCTCAGCTTCCCTGGAAGGAGGAAGACCCAAGAGTGCTGGGGGGATCTGTGGGTGAGGGTTTCATCTGGATGACCAGTCCCTCCTCCTCCTTGCAGCCACTAAAGCTGTTGAAAATTTGGTCACTGGGCATGGTAGTGCATGCCTGTGATTCCATCACTTGGGAGGCTGAGGCAGGAGGATCTCAGAGTTTGTGGTCATTCTGGGCTACATAGTAAGCTCAAGCTCAGCCCGAACTACAGAGTAAGAGCCTATCTCAAAGGGAGAGGGAAAAAAAAAGTTGGCTAGTGATGGGGTGTGGTGCCTAAGGGGGTGGGGACGGGAAATGCCAGCCTTTGGGAAGCCCCTAGGATATGTACACCTGGGAAGATGTTGGAACTAGATGAGAGGACTGGACTGTGCACGGTGGCTCTGCGCATAGCCAGACTGCTGTCCACGGGCCACTGGGGCCTGTTGGGGTTGTGTCCCAAGTGCTCCGGTCTCCTGCCTGCTGGGAAGAGGGTTCTCTGCAGACATGGGACCTGGGGTGGGGGAGTGTTCACGTGGATCACTCCTGTCCTGAAGGGGGGATCTGGTGACGTAGGAGGTGGCTGCCAGAAAAAAAAATGGTTTGACAGCTGTTGAGATTTCAAGGCTTTAATTTGACAACAAGCTAAGTATGACTTCACAGTAAGATCTGGCTGCCAAAGCCACCAACGCATCAGGGCTGCGTCAACAGGAAAACAATGTCTCCAGCCCCAAGGGAGCCCAGCGGTTCTTGTCACCCCTGAGGAATGTCTAGGGGATACAGGGCCCTGGAGAGAGGTCAGAGTGGGGAGTCCTCTCCAGCCCAGAATCACAGGGCAGGGAAGAGAATGCCCAGGTAGCCCAGGTGTCTCCTGAGCCCTCTGAGGTGCTGGGCAGATGGGGATGGCGTTGGCCACTGTTTTGTCATGGTGACCAGCACCTGATACACACAGCTTGGAGGAGAGGATTGTTCTGCTTGTGTTTGCATCTGGGGTTGAGGCTCTGAGGCGGGGGCATTGAGGTGGAGGCCTGGGTGGGTAGGTGTTCCCCTCATGAGGTAGGAAGCAGACAGGGCAAGAGCCAGGAAAGACAGCCCGGGACTGGCATCCTCTGTCCAGTTTGAGACCTCCACCTGGTGCCCATCCTCGCGGCTCATTCCACTGCCAACTTGGAGGTGGACTGATGCCCTGCAGAGCCTGGCACCCTTCTGAGCCAGTCACCTGTTGGGGACCCATCTCTGAATGCTACTGCATAGGGCCCAAGCCCTGCACACAGGAGGCTTTGGGGATGCTTTTATTTTTCAGTACTGGAGTTTGAACCTAGGGCCTTTGCATGGAGCTATATCTGTTGCTCCCTTTTAATTAATTAGTTAATAATTAATTTGGGGGCTGGGGAGATGGCTCAATAGAATAAGTGCTTCCCTGGCAAGTACAAGGATCTGTGTTCAATCCCTGGTTCTTTTTTTTTTTTTTTTTTAAAGAATTTTATTTAGTGTGTGTGTGTGTGTGTGTGTGTGTGTGTGTGTCCAGCTCAGCCCACCAGGGGGCGGGGCTGGCTGGCATGTGGTGCTGGGGGATTGAACCGCGGTCCCTGTGTTTTACGAAGCTTGTTCTAAGTAGGTGCTTTAGACCACTGAGCCATCTCACCAGCCCCCAATCCCTGGTTCTGCAAAAAAAAAAAAAAAAAAAAATTAATTTGGGGGCACATAGTCTCTTTAAGTTGCTCAGTTGCCCAGGCTGAGCGCAAACATGTGATCCTCCTGGCTCAGCTTTTCTGAGTGCTGGGATTAAAGACATACACCACCGTGCCCAGCTGACATTTCTATTTAAAACAAAACATGCCCAAGGGAGTGCCGTGGTGTGGTGCACATAGTAGGTGCTTCAGAACAAACAAGAAGACAGGAGCTGTTGGACAGGGGCAAGGATCCAGCTCTTGAGTGCTGGTGTGGCCTGCCATGCTGTGGGCTGGGCTGCCAATTTCTGCCTGGGCCTTGCGCATGGCGCTGGTGTGTGAGAGAGAATGCAGTAGAGCCCACGCAGCTCCTGGCTTTTACTTGGCCTGTCTGGACCACAGAGCTGGGGCGGGGTGCAGATGTTCCTGCGGCACCAGTGCTCAGGTGGTGCGTGGCCACACTGGTGAATGCATACATAGTGATAGGTGGTGACACTCGACAGCAGATGGGGCCAGCAGGGCAGGGAGGGAAGTTAAGGCTCTGAGCTGAGGCGGGGCTGCCTGAGTGGACACCAGAGGAGGGAGGCATGCAGGTATCTGGAGAGCAGGATGGGCAGAAGGATGCGCCAGTGCAGAGGCCCTGGGGTATGTGCCTGGCAAGTGGCGGGGGTCCAGGAGAACCAGGTGGAGGGCAAAGGGGAGAGAAGGCAAGGTGATGGAGTGACGTGTGACTTCAGCTGTCACTGAGATGGGAACCTATGGGCATCTTAAAAAAGAAGCTCGCAGGCATGATGGTGCACCCTTATAAACCAAGTACTCTGGGAGGCTGAGGCAGGAGTTTAAGTTCAAACTCAGCCTAGACAACTTAGCAGTTTGTTGAGACCCTGTCTCAAAATAAAAAGTAAGAAAGATCTGCAGGTGTAGTTTAATGTAAAGGCTCCAAGTTCAATCATTGGCCCCACAATTAAATTTTTTTTTTTTTACATTTATTTAGAGAGTGTGGGGGGGGGGCAGCTCAGCCCACCAGGGGGCGCGGCTGACTGGCATGTGGTGCTGGGGGATCAAACCGCAGTCCCTGTGCTTTGCCAAGCTTGTTCCAAGTAGGTGCTTTAGACCACTGAGCCATCTCTCCAGCCCCTGGCCCCACAATTAAGTAAATAGTTTTTGGTTTTTTTTTTTTTTTTCAGAACCAAATAAATACATTTTTAAAAGCAATGTGATTTGATGTTTCTGCTATGCCCAGCCAGAGTGGTACTGAGAGGTGGGGGAAGGCGACAGTACCCTGGGACTGGGACTGGGCATCCTGCGGCCTGATCCCACTCAGCCATTGCTTTCCCCTTCCAGCGGAAGCCTTGGGTCTGGACCACATGGTCCCTGTGCCCTACAGGAAGATTGCCTGTGACCCGGAGGCTGTGGAGATTGTGGGTATCCCAGACAAGATCCCCTTCAAGCGCCCCTGCACTTATGGGGTCCCCAAGCTGAAGCGGATCCTGGAGGAGAGACATAGCATCCACTTTGTCATAAAAAGGTACAGGCTTGGACTGGCTGGCCTTCTACTTCAGGCTGAGCTAGACCTGAGGGTGTGGGGTGCACAGGGTGCTGTGGTGGGTAAGGGGCTCTGACCTGATGGTGCTGCCCCACCCAAGTCCCCAAGCCCTCTTCTCTGTCACCCAGGCAGAAACCAGGAGGGAGTCTGTGCCCAACCCCGGAGCCCCAGGCATGTATGGCCCGGGTGCTGTGTTCCAGACCCATAGGACTTGTTGTTGGGGTACCAGTCTCTCTGGACCCCAATCCATGCTGTGCTCTGATTTCCAAGTCCCCGGGTCTGTGTTCCCACGGGGACATAGTTGGACCACCTGCTTGTCCCTGAGGCAGGGCTTAGAGAAAAAGGGTGGGCCAGCTGCCTAGCTGCACAGGGCCCATAGCTTCCTCACCAACACCTCCCCCAAAGAGGGAAAGAGGAGTGGGAGACAACCTGAGGTGCCAGGCTGGGGTGTGCAGGCTGGGGTGTGCAGGCTGGGCAGCCTGTCTATGCCCTGCCCCAGGCCCGCCCAGGGGTCTTGCTGTCCCTGGCCCCAGCCCCACCCTATGCTCCTGGCTAATAAGTAAACCGGACATGGCCTGGGTGTGTGGCCTGGTAGCAGGTAGCATGGAGCAGGGAGCTCTTGGAGGGAGCACAAAGTCCCAGGTTCAGGCCACAACACCACACATGAAGTGACAGGCGTCATGTGCACAGGCAGGCACGGGTGGGCCTCAGCAGGGAGCTATGTCCCCAGATCTGGCCTGCACCTGGCGGGGTCTTGTCCCGCCCACATGCCAGGTGTGTGTGTGTGTGTGTGGGTGGGTGGTTGAGCCTGGGCTGTCAGAGGGCAGAGGTTGTGATGTTCTGGACCCCTCCTGGGGCATGAGCAGTTGTTCACTGTATATGTGTATGTATGTGTTTGGCAGGTGTGTGAAAGTCAGGTGAGTGCTGTGCTTGTGTAGTGTGTGTTGAATGTTTGTGCCCTGTGCATGTGTGTTTGTGTTTGTATGTGTTGTGTGTGTGTGTGGTGCGTGTAGGTAGTGGGGGTGTGATTGTTGGATGAGTTGTGTATTTGTGTCATGTGACCAGAGTGTTGTCTTGTATATGTTGTGTGTGATAGTTGTATGAGTTGTGTGTGTGGTCTGTGTTGTATGTGGTTGCTATGTGTGTTGTGTGTGGTGCATGGCCATGGCTGCTGTCTGGTTGCCATGTGTGGTGGGCATGTGATAGTGGAGTGAGCACTGAGCATGTGTGTATGGCGTACATGCTGCGTGTTGTTTATGTGTTCTGAATGCCGAACACAAAGCTCTCCACCTTGCGCTCATCCCATGCCTCCTGCAGCCTGCGTTTAGTGCCCGAGGCCTTGTCCCCTTGTCCCTGTGTCTCACTTCTCCACCAACATGGCGCCCAGCCCCTGTCCCTCAGGGCAGGACAGCCCGAGCCCCAGCCCCAGCCTGTGACCCACTCTGCCATTTGTGCCCGTCCCCGCTCTCCTGTCTTTCCAGCCTGGGCCTCCAGGGGCCTGATCTGTGGGATGTGGGGCTCCTCTGTGGGGTTCCCCAAGTGGCCCCAGACTCCCTGCCCCATGTGCCCATCCTGTGGTCCTATGGAGCAGCACAAGGGAGGCCCGGGGCCAGAGCACAGCCTGTGGTGGAGATGCATGACGGGAAGATTGGCTGCTTCGGGAACCACCAATGTGGCCCAGGCATCCCTGGCTGTGGGGACACCACTTGGATGTCCTGAAGAGCCTGAGTCCTGCTGCAGCCATGCACGTGGGCCCTAGGGACACTAAGGAAGGGGACCCGAGAGCCCCTAACGTGCCCCCTCTGCCCTCTCCTCTCTCCTCAGGATGTTCGATGAGCGGATTTTCACAGGTGAGTATGGATCAAAAGGGAACCTCTGAGCTTCTGTTGCCCCCACTGCATTCTCCTGGTCCCCTGCTGGGCTGTGGCTTTGTGTCCTGGGATAGCTGTGGGCTCTAGGCTTATAGTGGCAGGGGACTGCAGCCTTGCACAGCTTAATGTGCCCTGGGCAGCGATTAATAAAGGGGATGTTCGTCCTGATGTGACAGGCATTTTTTCTAAGCTGTTAGCATAGCTGTCTTTTCCCCTTTGGTTGGTACTGAAGATTGAAACCAAGGCCTTTGGGGCTGGAGAGATGGCTCAGTGGTCTAAAGCACCTATTTGGAACAAGCTTGGAAAAGCACAGGGACCACGGTTCGATACCCCAGCACCACATGCCAGCCAGCCGCGCCCCCTGGTGGGCTGAGCTGGCGCCACACACACACACACACACACACACACACACACACACAATAAATGTTAAAAAAAAAAAAAAAAAAAGAAACCAAGGCCTTTGCACTGAGCTACATCCCAAGCCCTTTTTTATTTTTTGAGACCATTTTGCTAAGTTGCCTGGGTTGGGTTAGAGCTTGCTATCCTCCTGCCTTAGCCTCTCAAAGTGCTGGGACAATAGGCATCCTATGAAGCCAGGTGCTCTGTACCTGTCCCCACATATAGATGAAGGAGTATGGGAGCTGGGGCCTGGCAGCACCCCTAGTTTGTAGTCACAGAGCCACAGTCAGGGCAGTAGGGGATGCTCTGAGTGCAGGGTCTGGACAAGGTGACAGGGCCTCTATCACTAAATGCAAGCTGCAGGTGCATGGGTCAGAGTGTGGAAGGAAGAGGCAGGCTCGGCCCAGGGCACAAAAACCACACAGATCTTGGGATGTGATACCCCTGGACAGCCCTGGTTCTGGTTCTGCCAGAATTCTTGGACAAGGTTTTGTGGGCCTCAGTTTCCACATCTGTGAAATGGAGATAAGAATAGCTTCCTAGCTGGGTGTGGTGGCACCGCTTGTAATTGTAGTACTCTGGGAGGTTGAGGCAGGAGGATTAAATGTTCCTGCCCATTTGGGGCAATTTAGCACTTTAGTGAAACTCTCTGTGAAAAAATTTTTAAAAAGAAGAACTGGATTTCTGTAATTCAATGTGAAGGCCCTGGGTTCAAACCCCAGTACCACCCTGAAGAAAGGCCTTCCTTGGCTTCCAGGCATGATGGAGTGCAGGTGTAGCTCCAGCAGCCCTGGCTCCTGACCTGCAGGCCTCTGCTCACAAGTCCAGGGCCTCAGGAGTTAGTTGTAGCCCGGGCTGCTGCCTCTCCTCCCCGCTGCCGTCTGTCCCCCAAATCCCTAGCCTCCTCTGGTACAGGGCTCCTGTTCCCGCTCAGGGACATGTCCCTCTCAAGCTCCCCTTCTTGCTGTTGGCTGGACACAGTCCACAGAGAGGTACAGAGGCTATACCGCAGCCCAAGGGCACCCTGCGATCTTACTATGGAGGCCCCTGCGACAGCACCTTCATTGTGACTTCCCCAACTATCCAGGGAACAAGTTTACCAAAGACTCCACGAAGCTGGAGCCGGCCAGCCCGCCCGAGGACACCTCCGGGGAGGGCTCCAGGGCTGCCATCCTTGACCTGGGTGCTACCACCTGGTAAGGCCCAGCCCCACACCAGCGCTCAGGCACCATGCATAGACCTGTGTACCCACGGTGGGGTTCCCTTTCCTCAAGGCTGAGCTAGGGGACACCTCTGACAGGAGTCAGTGCCCCAGAGTACCTGTGGTGCTATCCCCAGCACGTGGCCTGATCACTGTCCCCAACAGGCCCCCACCAGGTCCTGAGCTGCAGGGGAACAGGATTGGCTAGTTTTCCCTGCCTCCCCCATTCAGCCCTAGCCCCCTGGATAGGAGCTGTCCATCTCAGGGACCGCAGGCGGCTCCCAGCTGGTGGGGACAGTGACCACCCCAGCCTTTCATGCTGGTAGTTCTCAGAGACAGTGCTGGAAAGGATGGGTTGTGGGATGGGGTGCTGTTCTTGGACCCAGGGGGCTCTGCCTGGGGTGTGTTTTGAACAGGATATCCAAGTAAAATGACCACCTGGTCATCTGCCTTTCTTCCCCAGGTCAGACAAGGGCAGCATCTCTGAAGACTGTGGGGCAGGTAAGAAGGGGCAGTATTATGTGGGGGACCTCAGGTAGGGAGGAGGGCCACCAGTTCAGCCCCAGGCCCCCGAGGACACAGGGCACCCCTCTGCCTCAGATCACAGACCAGGGCTTGCTGGGACTCCAAGATATGTGAGATCTGAGCCCACGTTACCTCTGCCGCTGCCGTCTGTGGACAAGCAGCGTCCCCTCTGTGCGCCTCTATTGCCAGCTATGTAAATTGGGATCCTGGGGCCAACTTGAGAAACTTCCTTCAGACCTGTCTGAGCCTATATCCTGGCCTGTGTCTGACACATGGATGATCTGGGTAGCCCGCCCCATCCGGCCATGCTTAGGACCCCCAGGCCTGACGGGACCCCAATATCTCCTCACAGGGACCTCTGGGGAGCTGGGCCTGCTGCGGCCAATCAAGATTGAGCCCGAGGACCTGGACATCATCCAGGTCACCATCCCAGGTAAGAAGAGGTGAGAGGGCTGAGCCGCACCTGCAGGAGTCAGCATCCTTGGGAGCCACAGCTGCCCTGCTGTCCCCTTGGGCCCATCCTGCTAGGATGAGCTCCAGGGTATCTCTCTGCCCCGGCTCTAGTGGCAGTGGGGGGTGTTGAGTGAGCTCTGTTCCCTGTCCTCTGTGAAGGGAGCTGCTGATTCGACCTCTGGCCTTCTTGAGGGTGGCTCTAGCCTCGCCGCCCTGCCACAGCTCCCCTGGGATCTATGAGGCCAGAGGCAGCATGAGTTTGCCCTGGACTTAAACCCTTCCCGAGTCTCACTTTCCACATCTGTAGAGAATGGATGAGCTGGCCAGGGAGGACAGGGTGCTGCCTGTATCCCAACAGCCCGGGAGGCTGAGGCAGGAGGTTTACAAGTTGCAGCCTAGGCTGGAAACTTGGTACCTTAGATCCTGTCTCAATGTAAAAAATAAAAAGGGCAGGGGCTATAGCTCAGTGTGAAGGCCTGGGGTCCAATCTCCCTAGTATAAGAAGAGGTAGCCCTGCTGAGGAGGCTCACTGTGGGGTCCCCAGAGACCTATGGCCCCCTGGAACCCTGAGGGATGACACCCCAGTCACTGGAGCCCTCTTTGCAGACCCTTCGCCAACCTCCGAGGAGATGATGGACTCGCTGCCCGACCCGCTGCCCTCTGAGGACTCCGGCTACGGCATGGAGATGGTGGCTGGTGAGCGTGGCGGCTGTGTCTGAGCAGGGGAGGGTGGCCAGGTGGGTGGCAGGCATCTCACTCTGTTGAGGAAGGAACTCAGGACAGTGGTGCAGCCCTTGCCTGAACGCTTGGCATCACGAGGGTGTGGAATTTGGATTACTTGGTTTTGGTACTGAGGATGGAACCCGGGACCTTTGCCCTGAGCTACGTCCGCAGCCCTTTCTTATTTTTGATTTTGAGTAGTGTCTTGCTAAGTTCCTCAGTGGCCCAGGTTGGGCCTTGAGCTTGCAGCCGTCCTCCCTCCGCCTCCCCGGGTGCTGGCACCACAGGCCTGCATCGCCACGCCTGGCCACGTAGAGGGTTTAAGAGGTAGTGGCTCACAGTTCACACTGCCCACCCGGCAGACATGGTTGCTTTTGCCCTGGCTTAGAAGGAAGGCTCCCCAGAGATTCTGGTCTGTAGGTGAGGTTAACCAGCCACAGAACTGAGGAAGGACAGTGACTGCTTTCATTCCCTGGGCTTTCAGATAGGTATTTTTTGAGACAGGGGCTTGCACAGTTGCCCACAGTGGGCTTGAGCTTGTGATCCTCGGTGTACACCTGGAATTTTGGAACATGTGCGTATGTAAACATTTCCACGCACATGATGTTGATTTGTGCTGGGACCCAAGTTCCAACACGAGGTCCATTTCTGGTTCATTTCTTTCTTTGCACGGAGCCTGAAGGTAGCTTCGAAAATGATTTTGTGCCCGGGACAGTTTCATGATGGGGAATTTTCTGCTTGTGGATCTTCTTGGAGCTCTGAGAGTTCTGGATTTCAGAATGTTTTGGTTTTCAGACTTCCCAAGGAGGGCTGCTGACCCTGTACCTGGCTGGGCTCCGTTTGTGGCGGGCTGCTGCGCTATCTTCCTCAAGGGCTCCCATGCGGATTTGTCTGCTCATTCATTTCACAGCTGTGCACTGAGCACCTGTGGCCCTGACCAGGGCACTGAGCAGGGATCAGAGCAGGGTGCCCCCTGGCAGAAGGCCTGGGCCTGACACTGAAGTGCAGAGTGCCAGCAAGCAGATAGAGCACACAGAGCCGGGTGGGTGGTCGAGCCAGAGGGAAGGTTGCTGAGGAGTCGGGGAGGTCAGAGAGGATCATGCTGGGAGAGTGACTGTGGCGCTGACCTCCAGGAGGTCCCTGTGGATAGGGGACGGCCCTCGTGGAGAATGGCAGGTGCAAAGGCCCTGTGGCAGCCTAGGTCTGGCGGGGCTCAGAAAGCAGTGAACCATGGTGACTGGAGCTGAACGGGGAGGGACACGGGAAGTCAGCGAGGTGACCAGCTGGGCACATCAATGCAGGTCAGAGAAAGGACAGGGCTTGGCAAGACACTCTGGCTGGGGCTCAAGAGTGTGCTGCAGAGGGGTGGAGACAGCCAGCGCAAACCCCTGAAGCAGTCTAGGCAAGGGCTGGTGCGGTGGTGTAGCCTGGCATCCCCGCAGGCTGGGAGGCTGAGGCAGGAGGATCACAAATTCCAGCTCAGCCTGGGGAATTTAGCAACTTGGTGAAATCCTGTGTCAACAACAAAAAAATAGAGCTGGGGCAAAAAAGTCACAAAAATGTAAAACTACACTACTGCAGTGATTAGGCCAGAGGGCGGCCAGACGGGTTTGTAGAGATGGGTGAGGGGGTTGATTTCAACATATCTTTTTTCACTGTGTTTCAAAAATGTTTAAAAGCACATAAAATCAAAACTATTGAGGTTCAATCCCTAGCACCACATACAGCCCTGGTCCCATCCTGTCCCCAGGCTTTCTGAGCCCAACTGAGGTGGGGTGTGGTGACACACACCTGTAATCCCAGCATTGGGGAGGCTGAAAACAGGAGGATCAATAGATTCTGAGTTGTATAGTGAGACCTTATGCCAAATAATTTTTTTTTCTTTTTGTATTTTAGGGAAGGGTCTACAGGGTGTTCAGGGTCTCACTGCTAGATCGGACTGGTAGTGATCCGCCTGTTTACAGTCTCCCAAGAGCTGGGATTACAGGGGTGCACCACCACGCCCAGTCTCAATTGCCGTCTGAGCACGCCTCCCACAGGCAGGCCCAGGGATCGAACCCCCGGTGCCTGCGCCTGCTTGCAGATGCTTTAATCCACTGAGCTATTTGGCCAGCACTAAACTAAACTAAACTAAACTAAACTAAACTAAACTAAAAAACAAACAACTATTTAACCATACATACAAGCTTAATGGGACTCGTATACCCATTTCTCATCTCCAGTATTTATCAACAGATGCTGCTAGAGATAGCAAAAGTAAAAATTATGACAGGTACAGCACTTACAGGGTTTTTCCTTTCTTTTTGTTTTTTTTTTTTTTTTTTTTTTGTTTTTTGTTTTTTGTTTTTTGGTCTTTTCGAGACAGGGTCTCGCTATACAGCTCAGACTGGCCTTGAGCTCACTTTGTCACCCAGCCTGGTCTCAAACTCGTAAGGATCCTCCTACCTCAGCCTCCTGAGTGCTGGGATTACAGGTGTGCGCCACCACACCTGGCTCAAATTGTTTTTTAAGTTTTTATTTTTTGCTTCAGGAATTAAGCACTGGGCTGCTGAGCTGTATCCCCGGCCTCCATGGGTCTTCTTTTCTTTTTCTTTTTCTTTTTTAGGGAATTGTCATTAAGAAAACATATGATGGGTAGTAATTCTAGCACTCCAGGAGGCTGAGGAGGAGGATGGCAAGTTTGACACCAACCTGGGACAAGTACTTAGTGAGACCGTGTCTCAAAATAAAAAATAAAAGAAGTAAGAGCTGGAGCTTAGCGTGAACACTCTGGGCTCAGTCCCCAGCATGACAAGAAAGAGAAAACGGAAATCCTCGCTCTGAGTTGTGGTATCCCGGCTGTGGTCCCCACCGCCTTTCCTGTGTTCTGGGGAGTCCCAGGGCCCGGTGATGCACATCGAGGTGACCTTGTAGGAGAGTCCAAGCGTTAGTGCAGATGGACATGAGCCTCTCCTGGGCAGCAGCCGCAGGGCCCCAGGTGGCAGCATTTAGGACGATGCACCTGGGCACAGGTGGGGACGCTGGTGAGGAAGAGGTCGTGGTGCTTTGGGCCTTGGGCTCACCCAATTCCAGTGGGCCACTGAGATGGACGAAAGCTGGGGTGCTCTCTGAGTTGGACTGTGAGGTCCTGGCCTTTTTCCACTGCTGGGGATTGAACCCAGGACCTTCACACTGAGCTACTTCCCCAGCCCTTTTTTAAAAAATGTATTTCATACAGGATCTATAGGTTCACCCTACACAGATCAGACGCGTAGTTTTCTACAGATTCTCCTGTTTGCATCCTCCCAAGCGCTGAGATTCCAGGCGCCACCACACCCAGTCTCAGTCACTGTCTCGGCTACCCTAGGGGTGGGCTGGCTTGGCACACTGGGGATTGAACCCTGGTAACCTGAGTCTGCCTAAGTAGGTGCTTTAATCTGCTGAGCTATCTGGCCAGCCTTTTCCTTGGTCCTAGTTTATTTTGAGGTGGAAATCATGGTAAGTCAGTAAGTTGCCCAGGCCTGGCTTGAACTTGCAGTCCTCCTGCCTCGGCCTCCAGAGTGCTGACGTTATAGGCACGTGCACTCATGCCCTGCTAGGTCCTGGCCACTCTGGTGCACAGCATGGAAGGCCCCCTCCCTCGCAGACCCTGCTCAGGGCCAGGGTGGCAAATCCTAGGTCACACTGTGCCATGAGCAGGTGGCCAGGCAGGCAGAGAGACCTGGTGCCCACACGCACCCGGTGTGAGGAAGGGGTGTGCGGCAGGCCCTGCCCTGTGCCACTCCATTGGCAGAGCCATTATGGAGGGCACCCGAGCACTGAGGAGAGTGCTTCTTACAGAAATTCATCAGCTTGCAGAGCTGTTGGAAGTGAGCCCCCCCCCCCCCCCGGGGCCCTGGGAACCCAGTCCCCGCAAGTGTCACCTGAGATCTGGTTGCATTGCCTGCACAGAGCAGCAACACTGTTACTGGCAGTGTTGATGGTGATGGGAATGGGGATGAGGGCTGGGGAGATAGCTCAGTGATCTAAGCTCCTGCTTGCCAAGCGCAAGGACCCAGGTTCAATCCCCAGACCTGCATGCTGTGCTGACCTTGGAACCAGGGTGCGCCATGCCAGCCCTGGAACAGCATGGTAATTCCAATGCTGGGGAGGCTGAGACAGGAGGATCACTAAGTCTGAACTGCTTACCAAATACATAAAAAAATAAATAAAAATAAAAATTCTTTTAAAAAGGAATGGTAGGGCTGGCCAAATAGCTCAGTGGCTTAACACGCCTGCTTAGGCAGAACACAGAGGCCTGGCTTCCATCCCCGTCATGCAGTCCCAGCCCCACCCCCGGGGCACACTGAGACAGCAATTGAGACTGGGTGTTGTGGCATGTGCCTGTAATCCCAGCGCTTGAGAGGCTGACAACAGGAGAGTCACTGAGTCTCATCTATGTAGTGAGACCCTGAACACCCTGTAGAGCCTGTTCTAAATATATTTTAAAAAACAAAAAGGAATGGGGATGAGACCATCCTGCTGTGGGGACCACTAGCAGTGACTCTTGGGGCAGCAGGGAGATGGGGAAGGTGGGCGCCCCTCGAGCTGTGTAACACTGGGGAACAAGCAAGTTTGGGACTACCGAGCCCTCCATCCGGACCAGCCCTCGGCCTGTCTCATTCTGTAGCCAAGTCACAGTGCATCTGGGCAAGGGCTATGATGAGCTTTTTCGTGGCCCTTATTTTTAGACAGGGGACTCGCTAAATTGCTATGTTGCCTAGACTAGGCTCAACCTTGCCATCCTCCTGCCTCAGCCTCCCGAGTGCTGGGGTGATAGGCATGTTCTTGAGTCCAGAGTGTAGCATACCAGGTGTCAGACTTTGCAGCCATCTTTGAGCCCCAGCAGCTGCTTGACTCAGCCTGGGCCAGAGCCACTTTGTCACCTGACCGGCTATCACTCCCTGCCCTCACCTGCCTTTTCCACTGTCCCCAACTTGTTCACGGTGTTCCCCTTGAAGATATACTTATTAGTGAAATAAACCAGACCCACATCTGTAAATATCGTATTGTCTCCCTAATATAAGGATTTACAATTCCGTATATGATTAGGTTTCCAAATTTCTTTATAAAAATATGTAAATGCTTATTTCTACTGTTATACAATTATTGTTCCTTCATATTCTGTAAGGACTTAAAGTTCAACATATCAATATCTGATGGAAAATACCTGTTCCGGGATATGCCAAAATGTTTGATATTTTGACAGATAGGGTAAACCGAACTGCATATATTGCAGGTTAATAATTAGCTTCTCTTCTGGAGGGTTAACAACCTAAGTTAGCAGATCAAAACTGGAGAAAAAGGGGCTGGAGAGATGGCTCAGTGGTCTAGAGCACCTA